CCCTGCTAGTATATTATTCCCTTTCCAATTCAGGTACAATCGATTCTTCTTACACAGGTCACTTCTACTCCAGAATCGTGAGGGTCTAGACAGAGCAGGTAGAGAACAAATGTTCCTTAAAGCAGAATGGTCAAAGACCCGAGGAGACCGATTTAAAGTGATTGGCAAAATAATAAAGGGAGACATGACCAACAATGCAAGTGGTTAAGACCTAGAATGCACTGTATGCAAGGCTTGGTGGAGGCAGTTTGAATATTTACTTTCAATAAGGAATTGTATAAGCACCTGTCAAGAAAAACAAAAGTGCTGGCTTACAGGGAAAGGAATGGAGAGTGGAACTGACATGATTATCGCTCTGAATAGTCTCCTTCTGTGCTCTAACTGTTGTATAATTTGATACTGTCATTTGTGTATAAAATGATTAAGTTGCCTTAGTCCTAATGGATCATAAGGCAGCTCAGAGAGACACCTGGTGATTGTTTAACCTGAGGGTCATCATGCCTTCGTGGTTATCTCAGCGAGTATGGGAATTGAACCAGAGCTGTTGGCATTACTCTGCTAACCAATGCCCAGTGTACTGTGCTTAGACATGCTATTCCTGCAGAATAACTGATTTTGTTTAAAAACATTAAATTAGCATTAGAAAAAGAAATAGGCCCTTTAGCCCAGCTAGTCAGTGGTAGTGTCATCTTTACATTAAGCAAAAAATATTTAACAAGTGTAGGTATACTGTTCACATCTCAGATCACTTTACTTTCACTGTCGATCTAACTCAATCTCGAATAGTAACAGCTATGTGTCAGTTCCTTCTAATGAAATGAAATGAAATATTTTCATTTGAGATTTGACATGATGTTAACTCAATAATGTGAAAAGAAAGCTGTTTATATTAACCTAGTGACTTTAAAGTAATAAAATATCCCAAGCTGTTGCACAGGAAATTTTGAAACAAAATATGAAACTGATCCCCATAAAGAGATCTTGATCAGAGATTTTAATGAATATCTTAAATGGGGAAAGTGAGTTGGAAAGGCTTTAGAGAGGGAATTCTAGAGGTTAAAAGTCCAGACAACGGGACCAGGGTCATTAATGTGTAACAATTAAAATTAGGATGCTCGGAAGCCATAATTAGATGTGCTCGGATATCTGTGAGATTTGTGAAGCTGAAGAAAATTACAGAAGTAAGAACGGGCAAGGCCATGGAGGAATTTGAAAGCCAGGATGTAAATTTAAAGTTTAAATCAGTGAGCACAGGGCTAATAGGAGAATGGGACTTGATGAATGTCTCCTCCCCCAATGTATATTACATTTAATGCATTTTAGTCTCTGTTTGAACCGTTTTAGGTAGGTTTACTTGCATTTCTATAAATATGTCAGTACGCATCTATAAAGAGTCAGGCAGAATAAATGGTGTGCTGAATCTGTTTAGTACAGTAATTGTGTGCATGTCGAGGAAAAACTAATAAAAACAAATTTGTGAATAATATTTTACGTGCATTGATGTTCTTTCTCTGGATCAAGACAGTGAGCAAAAGCAAGCTATGGAACCCTTGGACCAAAAACAAAGTTCATGGCCAAGTGCTACCAGGGGAGCATGATGCCATTGTTTTGCAAAGCTATGAAATAATGAAAAGCAGACAAAAAACACTTCATTAGGATTCTCTTGTTATATTTGATTCTTCATAGAAGGTGCAAAGAATAAATATGATGCAAATTGGCCATGTTTATTAAATTGTGGCATGAAAAATAAAAAGAGTTTTTCCTGAATTTTTAATGTCACAACTAAATGGAATCTTAAAAGCAGTTTGCAATAGTAAAGTTCAGTTCTAAGGCAATGCTACAGAGCTTTTTTTTATATAATTCTTTGGATGTGGGCATTGCTAAAAGAGTCGACATTTATTGTCCATCTTTAGTTGCCCAGAGAAGTTGGGGGTGAGTTTCTTGAACTGTTCTCGTCTAGTCTTTTATTGTTTCTGGTGGTTTGATTATAACTGATGGCTTGCTGGGCTACTTCGGAAGACTGTGAAGCATCATCTACATTAATCATGCAGTGCATGTTTTAGTGTGAACATGGTTTCTGGCCTTGGAATATGAAGAATAAAGTCCGAGGTTATATTCCACCTTCAGTTAGGGAAGTGAGTATTATTGGCATTTTGGTTACTTAGTTAATAGATTCCATTCATGTAGCAATCCAGGCATCATTTGAGAGAAGTGTTTCATAGACTTTGTGCTGTGAACAACTATAGCACCTAGATTCTTCAGGTATCTGAAATAATTGACATGTCTCTGCCTTAAATATGTTTCTGTCCAGCTGCATGCTGTTATGCTACTTTTAAGAAATTTCAGAACATGTTGACTGAACATGACAATTGGAGAATGGTTCTCAAAGAAAAATAAAATGCTACAGATGATGGAAATCTCAAACAAACACAAAACGCTGGAGAAACTCAGCAGATCTGGCAGCATCAGTGGAGAGAAACAAGTGTTTCTGGTTCAATATGAGTGTTCAGAACTGCGAATAGATGGATTACCTGGTCTTCAGCATGCTGGATTTTTCATCTCAAAGGATTTGAGATTACAGTGGATTACCTGAATATTATCTCCAATTGTTGTCATCTTAGACCACTTCTGAAGAAGATTCAGTCCAGATTTGAAACATTAACTGTTTCTCTCTCCATAGATGCAGCCAGACCTGCTGAGTTTCTGTGCTTATTAATTGATCTCAGAGGGTTTTGATTGGAAGATGTAAGGTGTATCTATCCCTTTCTCTTGGATGTTTATTGCTAGGTACAATTCTTTTTAGTCGAATTGAGTTTTGGCCAACAAAAATACCCAGTCTAAGAAAAATCTGTGGAATCCCCTGTCATAGTTAGGAATTCAATTGAACAGTTTGTTTGACCATGTGCAGGAATTTCCTTAGAGTTAGAGCGTTCTAAGATGAAGCAGTTGATAATTGGAGATAGCACTGAGATAATTCCGTATGACCTGTTGAGTCTTTTGAGTAAACAAAATCTTGTGCACCAGTTGAAGATCAGGCCAGTCACCCTGGGTCATTGATGAGAGTTGAAGGGAGGGGGAGGTGGGATTCTTCTGATTCAGTTTCAGATAACCGAAATGTGTGTACACTAGCAGCAAGTTAGAAGAATGGGCAAGTAATTGAGGATAGGAGAAGCAACTGCTCATTGATGAATACCTTGAGCATCCAAAATTCCTATTAGTGTCTTTTGGGTGTACAAATCCTGCATTTCAATTTATGTGGACTCATCTAATATAAATTCTTGGTGTAGCATGCTGATGTCATCAATTTAATTGCCACAGTTCATTGTAGTTTGCTTTGTTGATTTGTTTCTTAACGAAGTTGGTGTGTTTTCTAATTTAAAAATCTTTATATAAAAATCCAGCCATATAGCTGAGAGAACATCTCTGTACCAGTGTGATTGTTTTTTGTGAACTGAATTTTGGAAATCCTACCCAAATCCCTGCAGATATTTGCATTTACTTTGTCAAACCAAAGGATTGTTAGAGTTTGTGAGAAACTGAAACGTTCATAATGGTGCAGTGGTCTTTTGAGAATTGCGTCAACTGCCTGTAGTCCGCCTTGTACCAAGTCCGACTCACACATCATCCCGTGCTCACTAACACAGCTCCAGACTAAGCAAAACTTCAAATTTAAAATTCTTAAGTACTGAAGAAGGGTCATTAGACTCAAAAGATTAACTGTTTTTTCTCTCCACAGATGTTGCCAGTCCTGCTGAGTTTCTCCAACGACTTTTGTGTTTGTTTAAAATCCTTAATCCTGTTTGTGAATTCTTCCTTGGCCTACCCTCTCCAATCTCTGTAACCTCCACTACAACCACGTATTAAACTACCTATACTCCTGTAAGGCTTCTTGCATATCCCCAATTTTAATTGTTCCTGAATTGATGTTCAATTTCCACCTCTTGGACCAAGCATTTTGATCACACGAGCAGGCATGCTATTTGACCTTTTGAACTTGATCCGCCATTCAATAAGTGATGTGATTGTTATCTCATCTCTGCCTTCCTAACTGTCCTCCTCATAATTGTCAACTCCCTTGTCTTTTAACAAACTATCTAACTTTATCTTTTGCGAATTCAGTGACCCAGTCTTGACTGCTTTCTGAGAATGCCAGAGACAAATGACCCTCAGAGAAAGAAGTATCTTCATCTCCATCTTAAGAGCGTACATTCTTCAGTCCTAGACACTCACACATAAAGAAATATCATCCCAGATATCCATCGTATCAAGTCTCCTAAAGATCTTTTTTGTCTGGAAAAAATTACCCTTCTTTCTTCTAAACGCCAATGAGTGTAGAGCACTATTCATCAGAAACTGGACTAAACCAGCAATATAAATACCATGGCAACAAGAGCAAGTCAAAGACTGGAAATTCCATTGCACATAATTTACCAACCACCACCTCAAAGTCCGTACATCACCTACAATCCACGAGTCAGGAGATTGATGGAATTCTCCTCACTTGCCTCGATGAGAGCTGTCCACTCGTACTCAAGAAGTTAATTACCATAAAGGGTAAAGCTGTCTACCTCATCAGTCCCCTATCCACATTTTTAAACATTCATTTCCTCTTGCTGTGTGCCATCTACAAGAATACCGAAGGGTCTCGTTAAGACATCTTCAGTACGATGGCATCTTCCAACAGACAATCTCTATCGTTCCTAACAAGGCAGCTGATGTATGGGTGTATAAGCACATCTACACGTTTCCTTCAAAAATCACAAAGCATCCACACTTGGAACTCTATCACCAATCCTTCACTGACAGTGGGTCAAAATTCTGGAAATCCATCCTGAACAGCACTGTGGGTGTACCAACCCCACATTCAGTGGTTCTCCTCCACCTTCTTGAGGATGGTTCAGGATACACAATTAATATTAACCTTGTGAGCAGTGTTCACCTCCTACTAACAAAGAAAAATATGTAAATAATGTATAATTCAATGTATTTTATATCTGCAGAAGTGAAGGTATTGGAAGGACAATACAACGAAATTGAAATTCCCAATGAAGAAAATGTCGTTACTTACTACAAAATAAGGCAGCAGCTGGCTAAACTGGGTAAAGAAATTGAGGAGTATGTACACAAACCAAAATACTGCTTGCCATTTCTTCAGCCAGGCAGACTCGTTAAGGTATACTTACCATTATTTGTTTCCTCTGGGGTGTGCAATACATTTATCATTGTTCTCTGCTGAAATTTAAAGCAATAGAAACAATGATGCATGCTACATCTCACCACACATGGAGGTTAAGAACAAAGTAATCTTTGTTACTTTTTACCATTTAAGGAGATAGTCACAGTGTCATGTCACTGGACTAATAATTCAGAGATGCAGGCTGATTTGGAACATGGGTTCAAACCTCACCATAGTAACTGGTTATAATTTAAATTAATATTTAATACTGGTCTCAGTAATCGTGAGACCAAGCAAACCATTCTGTTCAATGGCACTTGGGATGAGCAACAAATGCTGACCTTGCCAGTGATGCCCATGTCCTATAGAAAAAATTTTATTCAATCCTGCTATTACTCAACCCAATTTCAACTTTTTTTCTATTCCCTTATTTTATGAGTATGAGTATGTACAGTGCAGTCAAGTTGGATTGTGTGCTAACATTAAATATAATTTAGTATGAAATAGAAAATAATGTGACAATCAACTCTCAAACTTCTTAAAATATCTTTATTTATTCATTGGATTTGGTAGCTGTGAGCATTTGTTACCTCGTGACAGCTCAGAGCGTGTTGGAAGTCTGCGTTCTGGAACCGCCATAGTTTGTGTGTTACAGTATTTCCAAATGTTGTAACATAAGGCGTTCCAGAACTTTGACACAATAGCAATAAAGGAATTTATGAGGAAACATTGATATTTATTCAAATCAGGCAGCTGTTTGTCTGAGAGGAATGCACAGAGGTGGTAATCTGTTGCTGCCTTTACTTTTCTAATTGGTAGAGGTCATGGTTTTGGATGGTGCATCCATTTGAGCAGCTGCAATACACCTTGTTTGGTGGTACACTCTGCAGACATATTGTGCCGTTGGTGGAGGGAATGTATAGATTGATGGTGAATCATTGTCCACTAGGCAGATTGCATCATTCTTGTATGCTATCAAGCTTTTCAATGTTATTGGACCACCAATTGATTTTATATGAAATATCTTTCCTGTTGTATGTCATAATTAATTAATGCAGGTGAAAGCGTGCAAATTCAAAATGACAAGCAGGGCAGAAATATTTAAAGTATGTAAATACATAGGTTTTAATTGTCCGAATTGTCTTGGCGAACTTTTTTATTGGCAAAAGTTTTACACTTCTATCGCTGTTTGTCCTTCCAACACAAACATACTGCTCCTCAAACCCAGTATGAAAGAGAAGTGTAATTGTCATTTTAACATCAGGTCATCAAGATGAGAATCCAGTTCCTTGGAGTGTCAAGTCCATTTTTAGCACCTCAGAGCAAATTACATTTAAAGCTGTTCATCAAAGGTTTAAAGCAGGAAGACTCATTAGATGTGGCATTGCACACTGAACTTCACAAAAGTACTAAACAAAGGTTTAAAGTGGTAACTTTAATCACGTGCAACTTCCTTCTGGCTCAGATGATGCCAGGAACCTTGGAATGTCGGAATCATAAAACTATTGTCCATATTCTAACAATGGGTTTACTCATGATATTCAAAAGAAAGAGTAGGAAAATTGACAGGAATTGTCTTTTTCAGTCTTTTTTGTGTGTTGCCAGTAATATACATCATTATCTGTTTGCTGTCTACCTTGAAATGCAGATTTTAGGTAAACTAAAAATCTTTTGTCTTTCAGGTGAAAAATGATGACGATGATTTTGGTTGGGGAGTTGTTATAAATTTCAATAAGAAATCTAATGTGAAGGTAAGCAGTTGGATTAATCATATACAAATGACATGATAATGGGAGGACAGTTTATTTGTTGGAAGCACTGTTTATTCAAATACTTGTTTAAGCATTGTATTGCTTCACAAATGCAAGATACAGAATGACTGATAATAAGTTACGGTTATCAACAGTTGGATACACATGCTTAAATCTGCGGGACGAAAGTTGGAACTAACCAATTTGACTGCCAGAAATGGCTCAGTCATTTGATGCATTATGAAGTATATCTTTTCATCCATCTGATTTTGCTTTGTGTATCTACTAAAGGCTTCTCCTGAACTATTTCTCAGAAATATTGGCACCTTCCACTTTGAGGTATCATTGTCTGATGAAGTGGTAAACAAAAGCACATCCTAACCTTTCAGATGGGCATGAAAAACCCCACTATTTAAATGTGTAAGAGTTTCCTGTTGTCCTGGCCAATATTTAACTTTAAAACAAATATTCTGGTCGGAAATCGCAATAGTGTTACTAGAGCCAAGCTTTTTGAAGATTTGCTACTCCATTTCTTACACTACCGCATTGATTATAAATCAGAAGTATTTATTTGGTTGTATGATTGCAGTAGAACATTCATGTGTTTGTTCTAGACAAGGTGAGACAGGACTGTTCCTATTTTATATTCATGTACATAAAGAGTAGGGCAAATCCAACCTGGCTAATTACTGCCCCATCAGGCTACTGTCGATCATCAGTGAAGTGATGTAAGGTGTTATCAACAGTGCTATCAAGCAGCACCTGCTCAGCAGTAACCTGCTCAGTGATGCCCAGTTTGAGTTCCACCAGGGCCACTCAGCTCCTGACCTCATTACAGCCTTGGTTCAAACATGGACAAAAGAGCTGAATTCCAGAGGTGAGGTGAGAGTGACAGCCATTGATATCAAGGCTGCATTCGACTGTGTGTGGCATCAAGGAGCCGTAGCAAAACTGGAATCAATGGGTATCGGGGGCAAAATCTCTGGAATTTAAAGTTATACCTGACACAGGAAGATGGTTGTGGTTGTTGGAGGTCAGTCATCTCTGCTCCAGGACACCTCTGCAGGAGTTCCTCAGGGCAGTGTCCTTGGCCTGACCATCTTCAGCTGCTTCATAAATGACCTTCCGTCTATCATAAGGTCAGAAGTGGGGATGTTCGCCGATGATTGCACAATGTTCAGCACCATTTGCTACTCCTCAGACACTGAAGCAGTCCATGTTCAAATGTAACAAGATCTGGGCAATATCCAGGCTTGGGCTAACAAGTGGCAAGTAACATTCGTGCCGCACAAATGCCAGGCTATGACCATCACCAATAAGAGACAATCTAACCACTACCCCTTGACATTCAGTGGTGTTACTATCACTGAATCCCCCACTATCAACATCCTGGGAGTTATCATTGATCAGACGCTCACTGGATTCACCATGTAAACCCAGTGGCTGCGAGAGCAGGCCAGAGGCTAGGAATACTGTGTCAACTAACTCACCCCAAAGCCTATCTACCATCTACAAAGCACAAGTCAGGAGTGTGGTGGCATACTCCCCACTTGCCTGGAGGAGTGCAGCCCCAACAACACTCAAGAAGCTTGACACCCATTGAGGACAAAGCAGCCTGCTTGATTGGAACTGCATTCAAAAGCATTCACTCCCTCCGCCACTGATGCCCAGTAGCAGCAGTGTGTACTATCTACAAGATGCACTGCAGATCCTCAGACAGCATCCCTTGCAGACAGCAGTTTTCAAATCCATGATCACTTCCATCTAGAAGGACAAGGGCAGCAGATACATGGGAACACCACCACCTTCAAGTTCCCCTCCAACCAACTCACCAGCCTGACTTGGAAATATATCGCCGTTCCTTCACTGTTATTGGGTCCAAATCCTGGAATTCCCTCCTTAATGGTATTGTGGGTCAACCCACAGCAGGTGGACTGCAGCAATTCAAGAAAGCAGCACATCACCACCTTCTTAAGGGCAACAAGGGATGGGCAATAAATGCTGGCCAGCGAGTGACGCCCTCATCCCACATAAATGAATTAAAAGAAAAGAAAAAATAAGCTTTGGAGTGCAGGATGGGTGGGCAGATGTGTAGTGACAGCAAGGTTTTTGTGGGTTTATGGGGATTGTTTATTTATGAACTCGACCTGAAATCTGGAGATACCAGACTTGTTCACAGAGTCATGCACACTCAAGGGAAGTGCAGTTGAAGAGGATAGTGCACTGTTACGGGTCATTAGCCACAGCTTGGTCCATATATCATGCAATTGTCCTGTTCTGGGAAATTACACTGCAGACCTGATGATTTCTCCTAAAGGGTAGATTTGGTAAATTCAGTAGCTGATATTGTATGCTGGGTTGTTTCACTTCCTCTCCAAGGCATCCTGACTTGTTCCTTCACTGTCACTGAGTCAAAATTATTGAACAGTGTCTCTAGCAGCATTGTGGGTGTACCTTCACCAAATGGACTGCAACAGTTCAAGAAGCCAGCTCGTCACTTAATCAAGGGTAATTAGTGATGTGCAGACAACTCTGACCACATCTCCTGGATGATTTTTTAAAAATAGTCTCGTTGGTAGGAGCTGAGTTTGCTGTACATGTGGAGCAACACAGGAACAGTCTTTGGGACCTTAAGATGTTCCAGCTGTTGGCTCTTCAGGCATATATGTTATTGGCTTTTTGGCTGCTTCTCTCTCTCTGTCTCTCTGTCTCTCTCTCTCTCTCTCTTTCTCTCTGTCTCTCCCTGCAGAAAGCATTTAAAGATTACAAAGGGACAAACATGATTGTCTCACTTTGAGACAATTAGTTGCAGTTCCTTGTCCAAATATGATGGTCTCTGGTTTATTAGCTACATTTCTGGTATATTGTTTGAAGACATTGATCATGAGGGGTTTAGGATTATCATTGTCTTTGTTTCAAAAAAATGACATGTTCAATTCAGGAATGTCTTTTAATGGTCTCCGGATGTGTAAAGTTATCATAATTTAGTCTGGAATATATTTCTTTGTCCATGTGACCCATGAGGCTGTGCTTGAGTCCAAAAGCCAGGTAGGCTGACCTTCAGCGGTTCTCTTTGCAGTGGATTTTGGTTAATTTTGAAGAAGCAATAATTTATCAAACAGCCTGTATCTTAATTTGTTTGATCACTGCCTTTGAACCTGATGGAAAAATAGTGTGTTGTGGAATGCCTAGTGATGTGTATTTTACCTTGTACCATTTAGCCACTAAACACCTTGAGCAACCCATACTGCTGTTTAATTAATCGTCAGTTAAATATATATGCAGAGCACCGACAGTGGGCCTGTCATATCTTTACAAGTTTTTTTTATATTTGGCCAACACGTAATGCAAAGATTTGGCAGATTGACTTTGAAGTCTTTGGACCTTTCTCCTCCTACAATGATCTGACCTCCTGCTGAGTATGAAATAGGAATTTGACTACTTTCAGTCTCCAGATTCTAGTATCATGCCCAAAATCTGACTCTCTTTCTTTCTTTCTTTCTTTCTTTCTTTCTTTCTTTCTTTCTTTCTTTCTCTCTCCCTCTCTCTCTCTCTCCCTCTCCCTCTCTCGTGTTCTCCCCTCATCTTCTCCCCCACACCCGTGCACGAGCACTCACACGGCTATAGACTTTGGGAATGGTTGTTTTGTGATCGACTTTAAAATAAGCTTGTTCTTAGAATGGTGCCCTCAGGCAGCATTCCCTGGTCACTTGTTTTCTCCATGTTCTGGACCCCTGTTTTCTCCCTCCCTCTCTAGTGCTTGTGTCAAATATAGATTCTGCAGTGGAATCTGTGATTGAATATCCTATTTTCTTTTAAAAAAAACTTCCAAATTTAGGTATTGTTATAACATTCTAATGTAAATGAGGAATCTGATTATTGGTGCATTTGAAAAGTAATTCTCCAATCAAAATGATTTTGAGAAAATAACAGGCAAGAACGTCTCTTACTGTAATTTTTCTCGTGTGAAGTGTGATAAAGATCCATCCTTTGGCTGTTCCTCTTCCACATTTATACAATGCCTCTTTTCATGTCATTCAGTACTTTCACTTGTATAATGGTACTGTTCCCCCACGTTTGTTGATTTTCCAATGTCACATTGCTTTACTTAGATATGTTGATCACTTGCAAATTCCTCCAACTGAACCAGAATAAGAGATATCATCCTCAGCTCCTACAGCCAACCATGTCACCTCACTAACTATTCCTTTTGATTATTTACACCATTACTATATTTTATTTGAGTTCAAACTGAGCTTCTGATTTCATATCATCTCCATCATAAACTTTTGGCTACTTGCATGTCAGTAAGTTCATCATCTACGTCTACCTTACCTCAACGCATCTGCTACTAGTGTTGTTATTACTGTCTGTAAATTTCAACTCATCTAAAGCTCTACTGACCTGCTATAGGAAAAATTTTGTTAAACTTGAAACAGTTCAGAAAAGATTTTCAAGGATCTTGCCAGGATTGATGGATTTGAGCTATCAGGAGACACTGAATAGGCTGGGCTATTTTTCTCCTGGAGTGTTGGAGGCTGAGAGGTGACCTTGTAGAGGTTTATAAGATCATAGGGAGCATGGATAGGGTGAATAGCCAAGGTCTTTTTCCCAGGATAGGGGAGTTCAAAATTAAAGGGCATAGGTTCAAGGTGAGAGGGGAAAGATTTAGAAGGGACATGAGGGGCAACCTTTTCATGCAGAGGTGGTGCGTGTATGGAATGAGCTGCGAGATGAGATGGTAGAGATGGGTACAATTAAAACATTCAAAAAGCATCAGTTTAGATTATCTAGTCGGTGTGGATACATTGGACGGAAGGATCTCTTTCCGTGCTGTATAACTCTGTGACATGATACTAAGTCCTGGTCATAAATCATGCTTATCATTCTGGCCTTCATTCAAACCATACAAATTTACGATTTTAGTTTTTGTGAGTAAGTCATTCCACAGCCTCACTATCCTCTATTTTCCTCAACTGTCTGACACCACCATCCATACC